CCCAGGCCTGCCTGTGGCCTCAACCCTCACTTGACCTCATGAACTGCCTTACCCAAAGCAGGAGCAAATTTGAGCAAACTGTTTTCTTGGTCCCTCCCAGCTGTAAACTCTTAGATTCTAAAACTATAAAAACCACTGGGGGTTGGGGATTTAGCTCAGTGGTGCCGCCACCTGCCCCGCAAGCGCAAGGTCCTTGATCCCCGGTACCAAAAAAAAAAACAACTGAATGGTTGCTGAATGCCTGGCCTGTGCTAGGCAGGGTAGAGTGGTGGACAGCACTGGCCCTGCTGTCCAGAGGCGGATCCCTACCTGGACGGTCAACAAGTGAGGGAAGAGCAGGGCCAGGTCAAGGGAGCTGAAGTCCGGATGGAGGAGCAGGCCACATTCATGGAAGAAAGCCGACCTGTGTAGCTGAGCAGCAGGGTTTGGGGAGCGCTCCGCAATCAGGCTGGAGGAGAGGAGCCGAGCAGGACGATCTTGCCTGCCACTGCGAGGAGCTCAGGGCTCTTCCCAAGCGCTGAGGGAAGCCGTTTGAGGGTTTAAGCAGGAAAGTCATATGAACTGGAACATTTTTAGAAACATGGGTACTGTGCTGGGATGTGCGGAAGGGAAGAGAAGAAACCAGCTTTCTATGGGAGTAAACTGAGCTGGGCATCTCTGGCCTTCGTCTCCCGCACATCGCTCCACAGTGTGCCCGACCTGCATGCTGAGACTGTCTCTGGCCCTGCCGAACTGCGTTCCCCAGCTCAGCTCCAGGATGAGCGTGAGCCAAAGCCAAGGGCAGGATGTAGTGGGCGCCTGCACCCTCCTTTGTGTGCAGTGTGTCCTGCGGCTTGTGCCAGACCCTCATCCTGCCCGTGGCAATGACGCCAGGCACTCGGTGCCCAGAGCCCTCCTCCCTTCTCTGCTGCCCTCCCGTCTCAGCACAGCCACGAATCACTGGCACCTAGGCTGCAACCTGCCCAGCAGAAAGCAGCTACTTCCAAAAGGATCTCTCACCACTCTTTTTCTCTGTGGCTAAGGGCAGAGAATCCAATGGACTCGGTCATTTTGGTAAACAAATTGCTGGATACAAACATACTCCCAGGCACACACAGCTCTCTCAACACAGAAGTGACATTAACAAATTGTCCTCCTCACTTCTGGTCCTGCACAACACCACCTACCAGTTCTGGGCTGCAGGGGCACACTGGTGGAGACAGTAGATCTAACAGTAACGGCTGACCGAACGCAGTTCCCTTCTCCTAAATATGTTACTAACGCTTTGTGGGTACCACTCTCCCTTACTTTGAGACGCTGATTACTAGCCACAGCGTAAGGTTGGTAGAAAATTTCCAGACTGTTTCCTCAAAACATAGTAATACAGGGCATTACTGCCATTTTTAGAGAAAGAATTGGGCCTCTGTGCAAAACTGTTTGCCCTGGACAGACAGAAGTCATTAGGGTACCAACGTACATATTCTCTGTTAAGTATGTCTGGGCTCGCATCTTGACTCTCGTCTGCTACTGCTGCTGTGTAAGCAAGTTAGGAGAAGTGCTTAACTTCCCTGCACCTCGGCATCTTCTTCGGTCACATGGGTTGTTGTTGAAGACCGAAGAAAGTTGTGCATGTGAAGCACTTAACCCTGGGCTCTGGTACATGGTGAACATCCTGTACTATGAGAAAACAAGACCTCATGGCAGGTATGACTGAGCAAGGTATAAAAGTTGTCAGCATCAGCCTTTACCAACAGATAGGGAGCGATCATATGCATCACAAACATAATAAAAATGACAGAAAAGGATAGTAGCATTTGAAAGCATTTAGTCAACAGCACATACAGTTTAAATACAGGAGATCTTTAAATGAGCTGGTAATTCACTGTTCTCTGCCTGGAAATAATTGTATCTGTAATTTTCTCTGTGGTGTGATAAAGACAATAATAACACTCATGTTGTGCATGTTCTTGGTGCCAGGCAGGGTTGTGAGTGCTTTGTGAACGCATTTAATCTCCACAGCAGCCCTGAAGCAGGCTCCGTTATTGTGTGTCTCTTACAGATGGGGAAAGGGAGGCAGGCAGCTTGACTCTGAAGCACTGATTCTTAAACTCCATGACATATAGCAGAAGTTGACAAACGATGGCAGGGAGGCCACATCCAGCCCTCTGCCTGTTTGTGTAAATGAAGTGTTATTGAAACACAGTCAAGCACATTCATTTACATATTATCTGTGGCTGCTTTTGCACTAACCTGAGTATTACTGCGGAAACCATATGACCCACAAATCTTAGATACTCACTCTGTGGCCCTTTACAGAAGTTTCTCAACCCCAGATGTCAACTTTAAACTTCACTAAAGATTGGGATTTGGAATCGATGGTGGATGTTTATAGATTTATGTCACTTGATTCTCATAGCAGTCTCATGAAGCAGTATTTTCCTTTTACAGTATTGCCATTTTACAAATGAAACGGGCTCAGAGAGATTGACTGACTAGACAGTAAACTTCGTGAGTCTAGGGATCATGTGCCTTAACTGGCACACCCTGTCACCTACCACAACACTGGGACAGCGTGGACACTCAGAAATACTTGCCAAATGAAAGACAATTGCAGAGGTCACTCTGCTAGGAAATCCAGGTCTCCTATTCCACAGCTGCCAGTGAAAATAGAGACTTTCTCTTGAGATCGGGTGAAATGCAGGTTGGTTGACATGTCCTCCCGCTGTCAGTTGACAAATTTATGCTGCTGTATTCCACCCCTCCTTAGTCAAAGAAGATAAACTCAGCCTGTGCAGAGGGTTTTGTGTTTCCCTTAAATGCATAGTCATGGCCTTCAGATCCTTTTTGTCCTTGGGATAGGTGCATTTTTAGATGAGATTAAAACTGACACCCTCGTGAGGCAGTAGTCACATGGAACCTTCGTGCTGGCTGGTTTCAGGCGGAGCCGAGCACCTGCCTCCTCCCTCTCTGCCCCGCTGCCCACCCATGAGGAGCCCCGGCATGGGGCCAGCCTCCTCTCAACAGTGGCAGGCTCCAGGCTTTCATTTTCTTTCCTCTTGCTTTGTACTGGTCATGTGGGGTTCTGGGTATTAATAAACTGTCACTTCAGTTTTCTAGATCTTGCTGCCAGTCTAGGAGAGAAGTGGAAGGTTTGGCCAGTCCCTGTGTGCCATTTTCACACCTCTCTTGACTGTCACATACTGGCAGGTGGCAGAGATAGACCAGACAGCCAGAGAGCATTTGGTGTGGTCATCATTCGTGGATGGTGGCCTCTACTAGAGTTTTGATTTCTTTCCCCTCTCAATGACACTGTCAGCTCCTGACTCGCAGCCTTAGATCACCAGTGACAGTCCCAGAAAACCTCGCAGGCAGGTGCCTGTGTTTCTCCCTCGGTGTAGAGATACAAGAGCCAGACAGCAAAAACACTTTTGAGTTTCGTTGGGTTGTTCATTTTTCATTTTAAAGTAAAATTATGTTCAGGAAATTAAGTCTGTGTGTGGCTTGACACGCACCTGAAGAACTTGGAGGGCCAAGTATTTCAGCACACACCTTGGAAGCGGGGCACTGTGAACCGCCAGTGTGCCTGTCCATACCTCAGTTCTCCTTTGCAACCTAGGGTTTCAGTGTTCACTTTGCCACTTCACTCAGCCCATATTCCAGCACCCAGCATTGGGTCATAGGCAGTGCTTATGGGCCCACAATGAAGCTGGGCAGAAGCCCGACCAGGTGAAAATCTCTTAGACATTTTCCTAGGAGCAGAGACCCCGGGTTTGGCAGAAAGAGGAGTCTTGGTTTTCTGAGTCCAGTTTGCTGAGTTAGTTTTACTGGGCCTGGTGGTTTCTGATGAGGTGAAGTGTCTTCACATGAAGTCCTTCACGGAATGGCTCTCTGAAAGCACAGCATCATCCTGTTTCCTGTGCTGAGATGGACACAGCTGGCTGGGCAGGATTTATAAAATTTAGTCTCTCCAGGCTCACTTTGCCCATCTGTGAAGTAGGTTGAGCAGCTGATCTTAAGGCCCTTTGCAGTCTAAAGTTTCATTTTCAACAATACTTTCTTTGTTTTTTAAATCACGCCATACCTGTATGAGATGTTACTATGGAAGGAAAGAAAGCTTGAAGAAAGGATGTACCAACTTTATTTATTACTTATCTTTATTTCTTTTTGTTTGGTAGTAATAGGACTTCAACAAACCGACCAACCTTTATGCAGTGCCTAATTTGGGGGCTTTGTGTGCATTCTCTCGTTTAAAGCTGACAGCAACCTTGGAAGTTCTAGATACAATCAGTAGGGATGAAGAAACTGGAACCGCAAGAGAGTAGGTGACTTGCCCATGTCACAGAGCTGAAAAATGGTCCAAATAGGAGGTGATCAGGGCCAAGAGCTGCGAGATTCTTGTTCCAAGCCACAGCAGCATCATGGCCTCCAAGCGCAGATGAGTGTGCGCATTGCACAGCCCTGGAGTGCTCTTCCCTGTGACTTTCCCTTCCCCTGAGGGTCACCAGAGTCTCATTAACAGGCGCGTTTGGGCACTCTGCACAGGGAGGAGATCCCGGGAAAGAATTGCTGCTTCTTGGGAGATGCACGAGGGTGCTGAGTAGGAGTTGAGTGTGGCCTGAGAACAGTGGGCGCCGGCGGGAAGGAGCCCAGTGGGCGCAGAGCAGCTCTGCTGGGAGGCGACTGCAGAGCCCCGATGTCCACAGCTCGTGGGTGCTCTGCTCCCTGCCGAGTTCTGTTGGCATCACTGGCCGAAGGAGGGCAAGTAGAATGGATTAGCCTGACTGAAGCCAAAGCTCTACATTTAAAAGAAAAAAGCAATTAAATATTCAGCCCGATTCCCAGGTCTTGAGTCACCTCCTTTGTCTTCCACTCTGAGCATCTGCTTTTGATTGCCTGGTGGCCCTGCCTGCCATTTATCTCTCTGTCCGCCTGTATCTATGCATCATGTGACTCAAAGGGAAGATTAGAGGAGAAAAATATCTCTGGATTCTAAGCTTGGCAACTTCTATTTTTATCCACAGCTGTTGGAACTGATAGCAAAGTCACAGCTCACATCCCTGAGTGGCATCGCCCAGAAGAACTTCATGAACATCTTGGAAAAAGTGGTTCTGAAAGGTGAGTCCCCGCACGCGCTCTCCCTTCTTAGAGGCATGGGATGGGCAGGTGGCTTTTCTGGTAGAGTAGTCGTGTCATTAGATTTAAAATAATGTGAGTGGATTGAAACGCATCGCTCCAGCTGCACTCAGGCACCAGAGTCCAGTCCAGAGAAGGACACGCCTCGTGCCCATGGCTGAGCATGTGACCTGCACACTCCTGTTCTTGGGTTGGTCCTCTTGCCCTGCTTCAAGTCTCCCAAGCTTCTTGGTAAGGGCACACGCCCCACCCTTGGGTGTTGAACCTCCTAATTCCTAATTGAGCTGTTTGCAAGGCAGAATGGATTCATAGACTGTTTGAGCTACAGGAAAACTTAGGTCACTGAACACACAGGGAAACTGAGGCCTGTAGCAAGCGATTCGTCCAGAGTCACACAGAGATCAGCCAGACAAGATCAGGACATGAGCTCCTCACCCACACACACTGTGTTTCTCCCACTTCCCACCTGAAGATACCACTGCTGAGCAAAAGAAGCAGCTTTCCGATCACCTGAGCCATTGGCGCTGGCAGAGCAATGGGAAGAGAAAGGAGCTTTATAGAAACCCAGCGAGAAGAGAACAAAGAGTGACCTAGATATTGGAAACCCTGGCCTTTGGCCTCGAGTGCAGAAGCCTGGCCAAGTGTAGAATAAACACCAGTGAGAAAGAAAACCTGATCCCCAGAGCCGGTGCCTGGGTAACAGGAGCAGATGGGGCAGAAGGAAAGGCCCTTATACAACGCATGGTGTGCCAGGATCATAACTATTTTTTTCTTCCCCACTCAGTGCTTGAAGACCAGCAAAACATCAGACTGATCCGAGAACTGCTGCAGACCCTCTACACATCCTTGTGTATGCTGGTCCAGAGGGTTGGCAAGTCCGTGCTGGTGGGCAACATCAACATGTGGGTGTATCGGATGGAGACGATCCTGCACTGGCAGCAGCAGCTGAACAACATCCAGATCACCAGGGTAAGCAGGCAAGGACCCCCGGCCACTGCCTCTTCCCCCAGAGGCAGGATGGCCTGCTAGGACTTTGGTTCCCCACCTGGTCTGTTCTGATTCCGAGCTTTATCCTGGTGCTGAGGGTTGGCTGGGGGCTTCCTGATAAACAGCGGGCAGGAGGAAGACCTTGACTGATGGAGATCAGAGGACATGAAAGAGGACAGCCAGCTGAAGCATTGCGGAGATGCAGGAACTGGGCTTTGGGGGGTCCTGCTTGAGCCTTCAGTCGTGCTCAGAGATCTCTCTACCCGCTCCCTCATCTGCCACCATGAGTGCAGCCGAGCTGTCTGGCAGCAACTTGGAGAACTGGCACTGGTAGGACTTGGCAGTCTGAGCATTCTAGTTCCCGTGACTGCTGCTTATGGCAGAGGAAGCCCCTGACCACAGACTGCACATGCATGTAGGAATATGATGAGCAGTTACCATTTGGAAAAAGCCCTGTTAACACAGCCAGCAAAATGTGGCTACATGTGTCAGTAGCTTCTCTTGGCTTTCAAAGTGTACCTCAACCTCATTCGCCCTCAGCTCCTGTCCTCTTACTAGTGAGCAGGAGGACTAAGGCATGCACATGCCAAAAAAAAAGTGCCAGAGATGCTGGTGTAATCGCAGAGCTCACTAATGGACAGACACACCGAGACGGCTCACGTAGCACTTCACTTATCTAATCTCACCGTGGCTGTGAGAGGTTTCCGGGACCCAGGCTGATTAAGTTTGGGGCAGCACCCCGTCAGGAGGGGGCCACAAGCAGAAACCTGCCTGGCCTCTGGTCAATAACTTTTTCACAGGAAGAAGTTTTCAAATGCACATCCTTGACTTAATTGTCAATAACGTCTCTACGCCTTGATTCCTTAAGCTCTGAAACAGTGGGAATAATTAGAAGCATCAGAGTTATGTGACTTCCTTTGAGTCCCTTAGGCAACAACTCCAGATCACACACTCATGCATGTGGCACGCAGCATAAATGCAGGCCACCTTTCAGAAACCATCTCACCTGTCTGATTGTCTCAGGTGGGCATATTATGAACAGCACGCTGACTTCGTCTAGTGATTTGCCTCATTCCCATCTCTCAGGTCTAGTTTGACAATAAAAATTGGAGACCAAATTTCCATTTTTCTAGTTCACCAAAAAACCCACCTGTGTCTTCTACCTGACTTCTAGCATTCTGTGTGACCTGGACTTAGTGTTTCCTGTCATAAATCCAGGAGAGGGCGACCCAGCCGTTGGTACAAGTGAGCAAGTGCTGTTTGTGCCTGGGACATCCGCCCTGGGGCAGCTTTGGGGCAGCCATCCAGATGGTCATGCCTGCCCAGCATGTCCCTCTGCCCTCATCTACCTGGGAGCACCCCAGCCGCTGCACCCACATTCCTTGCGTGTCTGCGGGCTGTCTTCCTCGCAGCCCTCCTTCGCTGGTCCCTGGACACTCGGCAGTGCCATTGTGGTTCTGTTGCCCTGCGTGGAATGGGGCCGGGGTGGGAACCCGAGAAGCTGCAGTCCCAGCGTTGCACAGCTGCTGAGACTGCAGCTGAGGTGGGAGCCTTGGCCCCTCATTCTAAAGTGACAAAGCCCACAGAAAAGCAGTGCTTTCTAAACCTTGTTCCTGTCTAGCTTTCTTTCAACTATTTATCCAGTGATCCCGCTTTGTTTAAACCTTTTTAATCCAATGAAGACTTCCTCAGGAGAGATCAAACCCTGAAGTTCCTGTCCTTCTCCCTTCTGCTCGAGGTGCTGCAGCCAAACCCAGCTGTTGTCTGCACTCGGACCAAGGTCATGAGCAAGGTCGTGCTCAAGGTCGTGCCTTGGGCTTCCAGCCCCCTGGCCTTCCTTGGCTGTCCAGTCTATGAAAGCCACTATTGTATCACCTTCCTCAGGATCTGTGATCTGAAATCATCTCACATCTGCACTCTTCTGTCACCACCCACTGGTTTATAAAATCCACAAAGAAAGGGTAATACCCTCGTTTTCTCTGTCTGTGGCATAGAGCAGGAGACAGCAAATGTTAGTGGGGTGCGTGGATGCCGTCTCACCCTGCTGCCTGCAGGAGAACAGTGGGGAAGTATTGCCCTGGGTTGTAGATGGCAATGATAGTTTGCCAACTTCGAATTATCCAATCTCCACACCTCACTTTGGAAAATAGGGACAGTGACGCCCTGGTATGAGAGTTTACCAGTTCATCTATAGAAAGCAGTAGAACAAGGGCCTGTAGGGGTGGTAAATGTGTTAAGTGTTGTGTTGTTTTGTTTTAGGGGGTGTTGTTTTGCAGTGCTGGGGATTGAACCCAGAACCTCAGTCATGCCAGGAAAGGGCTCTGCCACTGAGCTACCTCCCCAGGCCTCATGTGTTCCTATTATCAAGGGCTTACTTTGTGCACACACTCCTTTAAGATTTTACCTGTGGTAACAAACTCATCTAGTGAATAACTGTAAGTAGGTCTAATAGCTTAAATTGATTGGGTGCTGTGCTAAGTACAGTGGACCTTTGACTTATGAACTTGACCGGTTCCCCAGGGCAGGTTAACTCAGGTTGGTTGTAAGTGAGTACAGCTGAGATCTGGATGTTTACCTGGGTACAGACTGTAGTTAAAAAGAGGCAGATGAATCTTCCATTAATCTAGTTAACCCAACTTGTTCGTATGTCAGGCTGGTCGTAACTTAAAGGTCCACTGTACTTCCATCAATTCTCCCCTGCTCCACCAAGCAACACTGTAAGATATGCTGTATAAGTGAGAAAAATTAGACTGAGTAGTTAGGAATCCAGTCATCTGTAGTAGTGTCCACAGAGGATTGATTGCCAGACCCCTTGAGGGTACCAAGATCCACATTCAGGCCCCTTATAAAGTGGCATAGTGCTTGTGGATAACCTATGTCCTCCTGGACACTGTAATCATCTCTAGATCATTCACAATACCTGCTGCAACCTAAATGCTATGTGAATAGCTGCTATACTGTATTGTTTATGGAATAATGACAAGAAAAACAGCCTGAACATGTTCAGTGTAGACGCAACTTTTTTTGGTTGGTTGGATGGATCCAAAGACGTGGGACTCCCTGACATGGAGAGTCTGGTGTAATTTTCTGCCTAGGCCTCAACACCAGTGGCTGGTACGGGTTGAACCAAGCGGGTCTGCAGAGGCTGCGGTTTTACTGCGGCTCTCACCTCCCGCCCATCCTCCGCCCCAGCCCTCTGGGCTCTGAGCTCTGTCACTCAGAGCTGTGCCCGAGCTCAGGGAGCCTGAGGAGTTGCTCGTGTAAATGCCCAGCTCTGGAGAGGAGAGAGAGGACTTAATTACTTCAGTGTGAGCTGCATTTGCAAAGGTACCTTTGAACAGCCTGGCCAAAGGAAAGCCTGTTATTCGCTGCAAATATTAAGGTGACTTTCACAGTGAATGTTCTCTGGGTGCCAGAGTTCTGCCAGGGCCTTCCCAGGACATAATCTTGTTTTCCTTCAAAGTTTTCATATCTAATTCTTTGGAACCAATTCTTATTGGCAAATATAATTCATATAATAAAGGATGAAGGAAAAATTAACAGAACTGGTTTATGGGAGGAGAAGCAAATACAATTACAGTGCTGCGGCCAAAGCGGTGTTTTGAAATGTCGGGGTGGGGAAGACGTGAGTGGATTTTAGCCAGATATTTGACTGGAGAAGCAAGAGTGATGTATTCTTATATAATATATGTTTATATTCAAAAACAAGAAAGCTCACAGCAGTTAACTTTATCAGGAGTGGGGCTTGGCATGGCGTCTGGGCAAGGAGTTTGGAAAAGTGCAGGTTTGAGTTTGACAGAGTTGAACTCTGCCAAGTGGACTTGCCTTTAATAGGAGTTAATGTAATAATTGGCCTGGGAGCTTTAACCAAAAAAGTAGAGGCTTTGAAGTGCTAGAAACAGAAAGAAAATCTCATGGCAGTTTTATTGGTTCATATGATCAGCAGCACATGATAAGTGACAGATAGCAGCCCTGCAGAGTCCTGAGTGCTGCACCGATTGAAAGCTCAGCCTGACAGCCTGGATAGAAATAGTGGCATAAACCGCCAAGTTGAGGTCACTTCCGATGAGCAGGAGGCAGAGACTGTCAAGTCTGAGGCTGTGAGAGCTGGAGAGGTCTTGTCTTCTAGAGCTGCTCATTCTGGATCTCAGGAAACTGAGACCCGTCTTCTCCAACTGCCGCCTGTCCATCCAGTGTCATCTGTTCTCCTGTGTCATCTCCAGTCCCTCTCAATGGTCCCTCCTCCCACCGTGTGCCAGTCCTGCCTTGCAGGACACACAGAGGTAACTGCTGGGACTGAGTGGCCCTGGAATCCTCCATGTGTTTGCCCTTTCATGTGCCTGCTGCAGTTTCTCTACCTAAAATCTGGAGGAGCATGTCCCCTGAGCTAAGGGGAAGTTTTTCATCCTACATGCTTTTTTTCCTGTGACCTCTCAGAGGTGTCAGAACATTGAGCTAAAAATGTCAGTCATCCAAAATCGAGAACCCACCCAGAAGTAGCAGGGGAGGACGGGTCTACAGTCCCAGGAGCCATGGTCTTGTCTGTGGCAGATAGGACGTGCCGTTCCAGACACGTCAGCACCCCTGCTGAGGCCGCCTGTGTGCAGATGGGCTTGCTGGGTCTCTGGGACCTGCCAGTCTAAAGAGCTCATTGCCAAAGCTCCAGCGTAGGCCATAGTAGGGCTGGGCCAGTGGGTTCTGGGCTGGCACACATGTACGCACATGCACGCATACATGCATACACACCACACATGCAGAAACATACATGCAGCCCAGGATCTCCGTGTTGTTCCTTTTTTTGCCTTTTTAATTATTTGGGTTTCATTCATTCCACTCAGTTCATATTTATTGAGTGCCTACTATGCCCCAAGCACTCTTCTGGAAGCTGGGAACACAGCAGTGGAACAAAATAAAAGTTCTTGCCCTCGAGGACCCTAACTTCCAGCAGTGGTATTCCATTCGGGGTTCTTTTAGGAAGGTGTTATTGCATAAGAAAGAAAGGGAGTGTTACAGAAAGTGTCTTTGGGAGGTGCCAGGAGCGCCAGGAAAGTGCAGTAAATAGGCCAAGGGAACTCAGGAAGCAGAAGGGGCTCTTAGAGGCGCAGCTTGCCCGGGTCCAGGGACTAGAGGGGACCTGCAGCATGTTTGGGCGCTGGCGAGCAAACCTGCATGGCAGGCTCTGGGTCACAGGGACCCTGAGATGGGAGGCGGTTGCCGCTGGGCACTCGCATGAGTGACCCTTCGGGAAGGGAACACATCTCACACCTGAGCGGTAAACTAGCCAAGCACAAGAATGCAGCGGGCGCCATTTCAGAGTCTGGGGTGAAAGCAGCAGGCTGTGTGGCTCCCAGGACGTCGCTCCAGCCCCATTCAGAGCCTGCCTCACCAGGCCGTCCTGAGACCCGGCCAGAACGGCTGCCCTCTGACCCCCCACCTGTTGTCCTCTCCCCAGCCTGCCTTCAGAGGCCTCACCTTCACCGACCTGCCCCTGTGCTTGCAACTGAACATCATGCAGAGGCTGAGCGATGGGCGTGACCTGGTCAGCTTGGGCCAGGTGGCCCCTGAGCTGCACGTGCTCAGCGAGGACCGGCTGCTGTGGAAGAGACTCTGCCAGTACCATTTCTCCGAGCGGCAGGTCAGTGGGCCCAGCAGCCCCCTCGAAATTCTTCCTTCTCCGCCCTTCTCCAGGGCATCCTGCTCAGCGTGCCTGGAAGGACAGTCTGAGGCAGTGATGGTGAAGCTTTTAGAGCTTTCAGCGACACAAACACCCCACATGTGCCACAGATTCACCACCACTGGCCTGAGGCATTTCTGCATGAGGGAGTGAGGTGGTTTCTTATTTTCAGGTAGGTTTTTTCTTTTTTTGGTACCGGGGATCAAACTCAGGACCTCACACTTTACCAATTTTCAGGTAGTTTTGATGAAAAAAACTTGCATTCTTAGCCTAATCATATTTTGCAACTCAAAAAATTCACAAATAGATATGCGTCCTTTCTTTCTTAAAAAAATGTCCATTTTTATGGTCCTTTTTGTGAAGGCACTTTAGCGGACATTATTTCATTGGGTCTGCATAACCTGGGCAAGGGTAGGTATTGTCATGCCCACTTTAAATGGATGAGGAATCTAAGGCAGCCACGGCTAAGAGGGGATCCACATTACTGAGGCAGCTTCCCAGGCGAGGTAACAGGTGCTGAACTTCAATTTTGACCTTCAGACACTGTTGCTGTGACAAAATACGCTACATCCACAACTTAAAGGAGAAGAGCCAGCTCAGGGCTGGCTGGCTCCCAAGCAGAAGCAGCATGGTGGAAGGGCCTGGCAGAGGAAAGCTGCTAGCCTCATGGTGGCCAGGAAGCAGAGGGAGAGGCAGGGAGGGAGATGCATGCTTCCAGGTCACTCCCAGTGACCCCGTGTCTCCGCACGCTCAACACAAACTCAGCACTGATGACCACAGCACACCGAGATGCAGTCCCCTTCCAGAAGCCTCACCTCTGAGCACAGGAGGCTTTGGGGGAACCGTCCAGGTCTAAAACCTAACAGACACCAGCTCCAGCATTGCTCCCTCCTGACATGCTGCTTTGCGTTTGTTTTTCCAATCTCTTTATACAGGTGTTTGAATTCAGTAGGTTCTGCTTATGAAGCCACTGATATTTAAATACACAGTAGAGACACACTGCCATGCACTTACTGTGTCTCTCTGGAAATAATCACTCAATTCTATAGCAGAGAAAAGATTGAAGTAGTTAACGGAGATGACCTAAACTTTACAGGACCATCCAAGACAATGAGTAGAGGCCACTAGGGAGATGTCACCAGCCACCTGAAGACTGTTTAAAAGCCATTGTGTAACTGGGGAGAGTTGAAAGCACCCTTCTGTGGATCTTGACAGTTTTCCTCACTGGCTATTATGGAGATTTTTAAAAGGAGAAGGGTGAACCTTCTCCGAATCAGAAAAACCCACCAACCATCCCCTTGATAAATTCTCCTGCAATTATTTTTATTCATTTTAATTTTTAGATCCGTAAGCGATTAATTGTGTCAGACAAAGGGCAGCTGGATTGGAAGAAGATGTATTTCAAGCTTATCCGATGTTACCCAAGGAAAGAGCAGTATGAAGACACTCTCCAGCTTTGCAGACATTGTCACATCCTCTCCTGGAAGGTGTGTGTCACGGGTGACTGCCACAGACCCCTGGCCCAGGCCCCATGAGCTGCAGTGGTGGCAGTAGGAAGTCAGACCCTTTCCTGCTTTTTCCCCACCTCAGCCCCAGGTCTAGGAGAAGGTAAAACTGCTTCAGGGCCTGGACAGGAGACTTTGAAAGACCTTCCTTTCCTTACTTTCCTCTGTAGCCCCTCGCCCCTGGATGCTCCTAGCTCTGTGCGCACAGGTAGTACACAGGCAGACACAGCTCTGTAGTTTCTCCATGCTGTAGCATTCTTGACAGAATTGTTCTAAAGTTGGGCAATGCCTTGTGAGATGCTGGTTCAAACTCAAACCTGACCAGAATCTTCCTTTCCAGGGCACTGACCATCCATGCACAGCCAACAACCCAGAGAGCTGCTCCGTTTCCCTTTCACCCCAGGACTTTATCAACTTGTTCAAGTTCTGATCCCAGCACGTGTTGGCGCTTCACAGGGGCCCTGCTGGCTGGATGGCTAGGAGCACAGAGCTTGGACACTTCATTTGTAAACAGTGTACATGCGAAACATTGGCATGAGACTTCTGAGATTAGTCACCGAGGACGCTGGAGGGAACGGTGCATTTGCCAACAGGAATTTAAGAATGTTAATTTCACAACTGGCATGGAAAAGCAGAAATACTGTAAATAAACTTTTCCTAACAATTTACCAGGAAGACTATAAGGGCAAGAATTCTATGTCAACCATGAAAATGGAATTCTCTCAAAGTTCACAGAAACTCCTTTATAGCTGTTCCCTAGGAAGAAATAGGCAAAACTCAAATACAAGGTAGAACGCTCTTTGTTTACAATGTGAAAATTTGTTTAGACAAAAAACAAGAAGAAAGAAAGACAAACTACATATGAGAAGTTCCTGGGCTTTTGGTTTTGATTGTGTGTGTGCTGAAAAGGCAAAGAAATAGCACCCTGCTGAAGTGCACAGCGAAGGCCTCGTCCCATGAAGATGCCACACAATGGTCTACCTCTCACAGCATAGAGTGCTCTCCGACAGTGTGCATTACCCAGTAGGCAGTGTCTGTGTTTCTTGTAAGTTTATCACTATAAAAAGTGATTTAAAATGGAAAGGATATTGGAAGCAATCTTCATCTTGTTTCAGACTTCCTTTTTAGGCAAAGGGGGCCCTGTTTGGAGTTTGATCCTTCCTAAAACAGTCTGACAAGTGTATGTGCCTTTTTTTCCTTTCTTGTTGGAGCTCATTTGGGAAAACAGAAGGCTGATTAAGAACAGTTCTGGAGAAGTCCATACTGCAGAAAACAGAATGAGGCAACTCAGATGTGAGGACCTCCTTCTTCCAGTCTGACTTCCAGGCTTTCCTGGCTTCCTTGGGCATCTTCACGGATAAGCAGTATCTGTGAACTGACTGGAGCCCAGTGCTGAGGCTGGTGAGGCGGGCTTTTCATTTTGGAAATAAAACATTTTGCCAGCTGCTGTTCCCCTTGGCAGGGTGAAGAACTGAGGAGCTTGCTTTTAAGTCCGACATTAAAAATGAGTCAACATGAGCTAGGGCCTTTTGCAAGGGTGATTAAAAACAAAGCCTGCAGTTCAGGTCAGAGAGGTAAGATAAATGAGTTCATCTTAAAACTTGCTTCAGGGCTGGATAGTTAAGAAGGACAGACTTAAAACATGCAGATCCCAGGGGATCATGTGAGGCAAATTTTAGCAGATCACTGTGGAAGAAAGGAAATCTCAGGATCTAATGAGTTAATTATCAGCTATTCCTGGAAGAGGGTGGGAATGTTTTTATGTTTTTTCACTTTTTATAGACTTGCTTTTCTACAACAATGTACACAGATTTGCAGTTGTATTTGGTTTATGTCCCCAGAGTTTCCACCCTGCATGCCTTTGGCATGAAATAGGAACCTGGTGTTGCATTCACTTTGTACCCTAAGCCCTGACCTGGGAGGTGCCCCTGGGCAGGAGAGAAAGAGGGCTGAGCATGTGCAGAAACAAAGAGGGAGCCAGTGGTACGCAGTCCCCCAGGACCCTAACAACACCCCAGGTCAGCATTCTGAGGAGAAGCACGCTTCTCCAGGCTCCTCACTTCGCAGTATTTGTGCAGGATTTCTCGGTGTTTCTTTCATGACCATTCCCCTGAGAAGGAAAAAAACCAAACTGAGTTTAAATTGTCCCTAATGAGAAAAATGAAATGTGAATAGTTTTTGTTTTACAAGGTTGAGTTTGGAAGGCCACAAACCATTGTCATAGCTAAGAAGCTTGTGTGGTTTTTTTTTTTTGGTTTTTCTCCTGACTCAGTTTTATGTTGAGAATTCAGGGCATAGACTATTAAATAGAAAGCTACTTTTATAATTTTCAGATTTTCTCAAATACTTCTCAACAGTACATAACAGAGCTGGGTCTGCCATTGCCATGGAAGGCTCTGGAAGCTTTTAGGTTTAGGGATTCGTGGGCTTTCACATTTTCCCACCAACTCATGACCTCTGCTCCCCTGTGCTGCTCAGGGGATGCAGGGTCCATATGGTAGCACCTCTGGGTTCACAGGCCCGGAAGCCTTGCTGCTTTGGGCTGTCAGCACAAAGCCACTGGCAAACCAGCCGCAGAGTGTGAGCAGCAAACACATTTCACATCACACCCGCCACCCAGCAACAACCTGCATCTTTGCAAAATGACCCCACCCCAAGAGATAGAGGCACAGTTTTCTGAAATATCTACCAAGATGGTGTCTGCAGATTCTCCCCGTATTCTTTGGTATTAGTGGATGTGATATGTGAAAGAGTCAAGGAAATTTTCTAAGGATGAAAAAGAAGAAACCAACATTTGTAGGTCTCTTTCATTGGAAGAGGAGCATAAGGAAGAAAATGGCAGGTGGAGATGGAGAGGGAACGGAACATTATGGTTTGGGTGGGGAGGTGGAGAAAGCAGAGCAGGCAGAGTGTGTGTTTAGCTGTGTGGTGTCCATGCGGCATGGCCAAAGCCTCATATCTAAGTATATGTAAGCACAGTGAGTTAACAAGGTTCTTGCTCACAGGGCACTAACAACCTACCGAATTCTTCCTATTGGCAAACCCATGCAGGACATCCGGGCCTAAAAAACAAAAATAAAGAGGTCCTGGGGCCTGAGATTTAGCTCAATGGTTCCAGCACATGCCTTGCAAGCACGAGGTCCCAAGTTCAATCCCCATTACCAAAAATAAATAAATAAACCAAAAAAATAAAAAACCAAGAAGTCCTATCTCAGAACAAGAAGTGTAAAAGTGAGCTAGGGCATGACGGCGGAAATTGCTGAAGAGGGAGAATGCCGTACCCTTTACTTTACCGGCCTAGCCCCATCTTACACCAGTGAAGCAGAACCAGCAGTTAGTGTCCATTGTGCTGGAACTTGCACTCCCAGAGAAAGGGTTCTGACCAAGCTGTGTGCGCAAATCCAAGAGACGCTACAATTTGGCCCAGCTCAAAGGCTCACAGGAAGTAAGTGTGAAGTCTCTTCAGACAAATGCCCACCATTTGTGGAAAGGAGAATATATAAAGTTTAGAAGAGCTCACTTTATGGCAAGATCCAGCAAAAAACTCCAATGATATTTTAAATGAGATTGTAACATCACCCCAATGCTGTTGCTATTAGCAAATGAAACAGTTGAATGGGTGATAAAAAGGAAAAAGTTACCAGGTCAAAAATTCCCCAGTGGTGAGCTGATACTTGACAGTGATAATTTCATAGCGAAGTGACTTGAGGGAGTTAGCTTTCTTTTTGGTACCAGGGATCAAACTTGGATCCTTGCACTTGCGAGGCAGGCATCAGAACCACTGAGCTAAATCCCCGGCCTTGAAGGAGTTAGTTTTTATGCTGCAAAAATCTCAACAGGAGTAGATTCCACTCAGAGCTATGAAGTAAGACAGTGGGTTTGTATCGTGTTACTGCCACAGTGCTCATCTTTTGGGGGCCGCGAAGCTTCTCATGGGAGCTGGCATCGTTTTTGTACAGAACAGAAAGAGCTTGAAATTTCTTTTGTGTAAGCCAGTTGTCAGATTTACAAGGAATTTAAATGATTGGAAGAGATGTTCAGCAGTGTATCTGTCTTAACATTTGATACAGGGTTTATTATAAAAGAAGCCCCTGAGTTTATATTTTTTTCTTCCAGGCTATAGGATAATAACTTCTTGCTATGCAAACACTCTGTATTTTATGTGTGAAATTTTTAACTGATTTTATGTGTGCCTTTTTTAACTAAACTCTGCCATCGTTTTCTATGTTGACATCGGTTGAGGGGTTTTAAAATCTGTTTCCAGCTATTCGTATCTGTCAGCCACCTCGTCTGACTGGATGCTGGCCTGAAGTGCTGTTAGTACTTACACGGGCCTCAGAAGTACCCTGACCTCTAGCCACAGGCAGAGAAACCGCTCTTGAAGACACCCTGGGCCTTTGATGGTTCCAGCAAACAAGGTCATAACTCCTTTAAACTTGATTTTTGGGGGTAGGTGTGTTCTCTGTTTGGTCAGGAGGGTGAAACAGCTGTGGTTTTCCAACTGGAGGAAACTTCTACCCCTGACTGCAGGCCAGGAAGGGTGGTCAGAGAGGGTAGAACCTGACACTGCCCTCACACGAGATGGGGACGTGTCTCTAGTGTTGGGGCGTGCCTCGGCCCCACTGGTCCAGAGTGGCAGAGTGAATGGGAAACTGGGGCGTCTTGAGCCCCCATATTGTCGCCCATCACCGAGTACCTTGTGGCAGGCTGCGGACAGGCCAGGTTGTGCTCCTGCGGTTCTTCTCAGGGTCCTCACTGTGGTGGGCTGCCTCATGGTGGAGATCTGGCCATTACGCCTGATTCTCACCGAGTCAGGAACCACTTAACCCTTGTACATCTGTGACTCTGCCGTGAGCACAGCGTTCTGGTGAGTACACCTGGCGTGCTAACATACACAGCATATTTAGACGAACTCATTTTTCCCTTGGGTACTCAATCACAAAGGTGGCCCTTATTTTAAAAGGTAAGAGCTGAGCAGTGCTTGTTTTCTGGAAACGGAGGTTCTGATGATACCCAGCAGCAGCTCCTGTCTGCCTGGACTGAGGTACACACTCCATCCATCCTGTCTCCTCCATCACCACCTGAGCTTCGAGACTGCAGTGGACATTCTCTGCCCAGCCTCGTCTTCACCAAGCAATGAGTCTACCCCATGAGGCTGCACTGTGACTTTGTCCGCTGCCGTTTTTCAAAGTGTCCTTGGCCTCAACAAATTTCTCAAAACTGAGGCCCTGCTCCATTTGGCAAAAAAATGGGTGGCTGCTCCAAACTGCACTTCTTGAAGCTCCGTCTGCTACATTATTTTTGGAGTTTGACTTTTCTTGTCTTTGAGTGTAGCTGTGTTTAGTTAGTGATGCACAAATCTGTTAAACAGAAAGCTCCAGTCCCTTCTCTGAGCTGAGAACCTTTGGCACCACCTTTACCCCACCCAGTGCCAGTCACCTGGCTAAAGGGCATGTATATTACAGTCCATGCCCTAAGCTTAGAGGCTTTAATGTACGAACTATTACAGGATTGAACATCGTACCTGAAAGTATAAGATTAGACCAATTACATGCAGAGATGTGTATTTAATACTGTGTGAGCTAGTCCTGTATAAATTATTTGCACACTTTTCTTGCATGATGAACTGATTTTTACAGTTGTTTGTACCAGACAGTGGCATATTTTTGTAAAAATTTTTTGACACTGAATTGCAATAAATGTTTTTCCAACAACACACATTGGTGTACTTTTGGTGTGTGTCAGTTTAAATCAACTTTCTATTATAATGAATATGTTCATTTTTGCCTGTTGAGACTTCTATTCCTTCTCTCAGAAACTTGTTACCTTTACAGTGTCATAAAATTTCTGGGGATACATAGAAAATAAGGTTATTGCTGAATACTAGCCAGAGTAGCATTTCAGTTAGATGGGATATTTCTGTGTACTGTTTGTATATACAGTGATTAGGAAAAAATGAATTTTGTAGTCAGTGTGAATCTACACAGTGGGCGATTATGGAGTACTTACTACATGCTAGACTTGTACAAACCACTGGGAGCAAAAGAGTGATACACGAGACAGAAGTGAGCCCTGCCTTAATGGAACTTAGAAAGACCCCAAAATGCAAGTGAATAATTTGTAATGAGTGTTATGAAAAGAATAAGCAAGAGCTGAGGTATAGAACACAAGAGGAACCTGCTTAAGGAAGGCTGAGTGAATGGATCTGTGAAAGTGATGTTGAAGGCGTGAGGTAAGCAGCCAGCCTCAGAAGAACTAGGGCAAGAATATTCCAGGAAAAGGAAACGGCTGGTACAAGGTTCAGATCACCATCCTGCCACTTGCCTGCAGTGTGACCTTTGCCACCGTAACCCTTCTCTGACTCGTCTCCTTGACTACTGGTTGTGAGGGTCAAGTGAACTAACCCAGCTGAAGTCCAGGGAGGGTTGATGATTATGTCCTGGGCTAGGAAGTGCTGTTCTCAGTCAGCTGTACTTTCCTCAGTTTCCTACCCGCAGGTGGCTGGCTGACTTGGCTCCTTCACCATGGAGCACACCCTGATCCTGCTGCTCCCTGTCCATTAGAAGATGACAGAAAAGGTGCATGAGAACAGTTAGAGATAATGTTTTAAACTCCACCGGGATTTAGACATGATTCGTTAAGCGTCTTGAAATAGAGAGATTATCGCGAACTGTCTGCATGCGCTCAGTGTCGTAAGGGCCCTTGGGAAGAGGGAAACAGAAGAATGGCTGCAGAGACGGGGAAGTGGACCAGAGGCCAGGGAGTGAGCATGGCTGCAGGTGAGAAGGATTCTGCCCTGGGCTCCCCAGGAGGGAAGCAGTCCTGCTGGCGCCTTGACATTAGCCCAGTGAGACCTGTGTCGGATCTGACCTCGTAAACTAAAATAACGGTTTGGCATTGTTTCATCCCCTCTGTGTGTGATCATTTGTCCCAGCAGTAATGGGAAGCTAACACAGCTCCTCTTGCCAGCCCACCCCAGCCCACCCCACAGGCTTTTTCCCATCAGTTCCCACCTGTGCCCTGCTGCACGGCCCCAGCCCAGGTGGGCAAGGCTCTGGCAGGGAGCAAGCCACTGTGGTCTGCACGGCCTAATCCAGCAGCAAGACTTTCTTTGACCCCTGGACCTGTGGAACTTCAAACGTTAGGCACCTGTTTTCCCTTCCTGCCTTACAGAGGCTTCATGGAAGCTGCCATCATCCTCTTGGCCTAGAGACACTGAGTCAGCGTGCAGATTCCCCATGAGCATGGTCTCGGCATCCGTGGCCTGATCTGGAGCAGCCCCTCACCAGTGCACACTCATACCCTCCCCTCCGGGAATTTCCCCGTGGAGTGGGTGGGGGTCAGGCAGCAAGAAAATGTGTCTCCTCTGACGAAGGCCGCAGCCTCCAGGGCCCAGTCGGGTGCAGAGTGCTGGGAGAGTTCAGAGCTGGCTGAGCCTGAGAGCTGAGAGCAGCTGGCAAAGACCCTGGGCACTGCAGCACCTCCTCCCCAGTCAGCACCCAAAAGCTGACCAGAGCCAGCATCTCAGAGTCACCCCCAGCTGGTCCCAAGACACTGCAGATTTCCTGGGGTCTGGACAGATGAAGCCCTCTCTGTCCCTCAGGTCCTAGTGCCAAAGCCTAAAGACTTTACCCAAGGCCAAATGGGCCCGCTCCCTTCAAGCTCTTCTGTGATAGTCAGTTTTAGGTGTCAGCTTGTCTAGGCTGTACTGTGGCCTAGTTGTTCAGCCAAACATCAGTCAGGCGGTATTTTTTAGATGTAATGAACATTTAAACCAATAAACCTTGAGAAGACCAATGACTCTCCAGAAGATGGTGGGCCTCGTCCAGTTTTTTGAAGGCCTCAAGAGAAAGATGCAGAGATCCCCCAGAGAGGAAGGAATGTTCCTCCACGCCCCCTTTGGACTGAGCCAGAAAGATCTGCAGCCTTCTGATCTACAGTCTGCCGGGCTAGCATGAAGACTGTGGGCATGCCAGTCCCACAACTACATTAGCCAGTTTCTTAACGTAAATACAGAGAGTTGAGCCAGACAGACAGAAAGGTTATAAATAGAGCAAAATACTTATGTTAAGGAATAAAATACTTTAAGAAATTTGATTCTAAGGAATAAAATATATATATACTGATAGATATAGGAGCTAGATATATTTGTAGAGATTTTATATATTTTATATATATATATATATATGTATTTCTGCATATACAGATACAGAGAGACAAATTTTGATTGTTTCTCTGGAGAGCCCTGACCGATACAGACTCCTAGAAAGAGAACAAGGGTAAGGAAGGTCTAAAGAAGGCTCCAGAGGGCAGAAGGGCAAAGGAGAAAACTAGAGGAGAGCGGAACCTAGTGGCTACAAGAGGCAGCCAGCAGACAACCACATCCTGAGAAATCATATTTGGCAGACGATAAACTGCACAACAGTCATTCTTGGCCACATGAAAGTTTATGTGGCTCTCCCTTTCCTGTTCTTTAAAACTTGTATTCAGTTGTTTAAATTACATTTCACCAGTTAGCTATTTCTTAATTTCAGAATTATTCCAAGGGGCTCCTATTTCCTTCAGAGAGGCGGCATAGCACAGTGGTTAAGAGCTCAGATTCGGGGGCTAGGGTTGAAACTCGGTGGTGGAACATCTGCCTAGCATTCCCAAGGGTCTGAGTTCGAGCCCCAGCATCAAAAACAAAAACAGAGGGCCGGGGATTTAACTCAGTAGTGCTGCTGCCTGCCTCGAAAGCAAAAGTTCCCTAATTCAATCCCTGATAGCAAAATCAAAAACAAAAACAGAGCCAGGCATGGTGGCACACACCTATGATCCCAGCACTACTCAGGAAGCTGAGGCAGGAGGATCGCCAGTTCAAGGCCAGCCTGGGCTACAAAGGGAGACCCTGCCTCAAAAAACAAAAGACAGAACTCAGAATATGAAGCCCACCCCCCACTTCCCAGCTGCACTGGGCAATGTGCCAAGCCTTGACACCCATGGGCATGATGACAGTGTCCACGGTATTGAATTGCCGTGAGGAGAAACTGAGTCAAGGCTGGCTAGATCCATTCAGTGTGGTTTAAAAAGTGCTCAACACGGAGCAAGAAGAAACATGTTATGATTATTCACCAGGTCCACTTCCTGTCTGGTTTGGCTTTATGTGTGGTAAGACAGGAAAAACAAACAAAAACAACCATGCAGCCTTCACTGTCTCTGAAGAGAGGCATAATGACTTAAGTCAGTGACCCCCACAATAAGAGTCTTTGCTTACTGTTTAAACCAGTGGTCTCCAACCGACACACAGGAAACATTTTTTAAACCTGAGTCAAATATGTATCTCCTAGCCAGACAGGGTGACACATGTGTGTAATCCCAGCTACTTGGTTGCCGAGGCAGGAAAATCAAAACTTAGAGGCCAGCCTGGGCAATTTAGCAGGATCCTGTTCAAATTTTTTTTAAATGAAGGCCTGGGATGTAGCTCAATGGTAGACTGCTTTGCTACTATGCGCAAGGTCCTGGGTTCAATCCCCAGTGGTGTGTGTCTGAGGAGCTGGATAGCTGCATAATTTGCCCTGAAGGTCATCGGGGGAAGCCATTGCTTTGGAGCCTAGAAAGGGCCTTATAGTGTGGTTGGAAACCAGTACTGAAAAAAGAATAAGATCTTTTCATGTTTACACTCCAAACTGAGACTTAAGCTGCTTCCGATTTATTCAAATTACTTACCTGCCATGTGCCTGGCACTAGATCTCTCAAGTCAAAAGAGACAGCTCATAATCATATTCGAGGAACACACATCCTTGTGGGGAGACCCAGGCTTATGAAGCAGTAATTACTCTTCTATAATCAAATATGCACAGGTTCAGCAGAGACACAACAATTACATGGACTGGAGCCATTTGCTGTGTTTCAGTTTCTTCATCTGTAACATGGGCATGAAAATAGCATGTACTCATAGGACTGCTGAGAATAGTGAATGAGAAAGATCATGTAGAAACAGGTCTGTCAGTTCATGGAAGACTTGTTAGTGTTCCATACTGTAGTTATTTTCATTAATTTTCCATTGCATAGTGAAGCACCATTCTGAACATGATCAGTGCTTGATTGTATTGAAATTCTACTCAACGGGGACTATTTAGCCCTCCTGTTTTGCCGGAGGGAGGTGAGGCCCAGGAAGGATAAGGGGCTTCCCCAGGGACACACAGTGGAACTGGGATCCAAACTTGGGCTGTCTCACTACACTATCCCCTGTGAAGAGGGGCCAGTCCTTCCAAGCCCTTCTGAGAATGCAGAGGCAAAAGGTACAGTACTTTTTCCAAAACAGCAACTGACAAAATGTCCTAAAATGACTTGCAACACAGAAGTCTGGCACTAGATTTTTTTCACATGAAATTTTCAATTCAAATTCAAATTAGAAAAGGCAAAATTCCATCTTGGAGTCGGGGGTTCAGACAGGCTCACTGGTATATGCTGATCCTCCAGCCTTGCACCCAGTTCTTGTTGGAGAGCAGAGTCCTGGCTCTCTCCCGTTGGCTGGTTTGATTGGGGTGCCACACTATCCAGAGGGCGATTTGGGGTCCTCCAAGTGGGTTCTGGGCCACCTGTGCTTGGCCACAGTGTTTATACAACTGTCCCAGCTCCCAAACAAGACACTTGTGCCCTGCATTACAGGCTGGCAAGTCTGTCAGCGCAGAGGAAACGTGGGGAAGAGCTCCATCTGCCTGTGAAATCCAAGCTGT